TTTTGCAATGATGGATTTGGAGTAAGAAAAAAATATTAGATGAATTATATATAATTTAATAATGTTGTTTACCATTTTATATATTAATTTTTTTTTACCTAAATAGTGGATTAGAGATGCGTTGCGAAATTTGGGGTCACTATGTTTACGAGTTCATTGACTGTGAAAATTACTTCCAATCACTTGATGATGGAGAACCATGGGTTCTCATAATGTAGTTATGCAAGATTAAACAAAAGACTGCAGGTATTTTTGAATTTTGTTTTATTTGTATTATAATTACAATTAAAATTGAATAAAATAATGTCATCATACATATACAAAATTTGCCAATTATATATATTATTTTGCAGCAGGTGAATATCAATTGAGTTCATATCTGGATGTCACAAGGCTTTTTGCTGCAAATATCCCGAAAATTATACAATTCCGTGAAAAGTAAGTATATTTTATTAATTTTTTGTTATGTTATATATAGATTGTATATATTATGTGCAGATTTTCGTATAGTGAAATGATATTCAAAATTACGTTTAATTTTCAGATTTTCAAGAAGCAAATGGTACAAGCCAAACATGTATGTCACCAACAGCATGATTTTGATGTAATAGAGAACCTTGGCTGTTGTGATATGAAGCTGGATAAGAGATTGTTAGGACTAAATAATTCAGTTGTTTTTTTTCGAGTGGAGTTGTTTTTCTGAAATTGGATTAGTCTGCTTATGTTTGGTTAGTTTGCTTATGATGGGAATTGATTAGTTTTTCTGAAATTGGATTAGTCTATTTATACATTTGGATTAGTTTTTCTGAAATTGGATTATGTTTCTGAAATTGGATTAGTTTTTCTGAAATTGGATTAGTCTATTTATACATTTGGTTAGTTTGCTTATGTTTTTCAATTCATACATGAAATCCAATTAATATTTTTTCTACATTACAATTTTACATATACGATTTTTTTGTAATAATTTAAATACATTCTGGTTCGAATTACATTTCAATAAATGTTCATAAATATAATAAAATATTGGACAAATATAATCTGGTTGATATATAATAATTAAAGATAACTATTAATAGTTTAGACATAATAATTAGAAATAATTATTTATGGTTTAGAGATAACTATTAATAGTTGATTTATAAATATTAATTCTCTAGAGATAACTGAGGATTTAAATTAACGAGATTAAGGGACGTTTCTAATTAATGGGAGTGGTTCAATTTGACAAGATAAGCATTAATTAATAGAGATAATAATTAGAGATTATTATTGATGGATTAGAGATAATTATCACTAAACTTATTAAATAAATAAGGCACGTTTCTTATCAATGGGAATTCAAATTAACAAGATAAGGATTAATTAATTAAAAATAATTATTTATAGTTTAGAGATAATTATTAATGGAGTAGATAACTAAGGATTTAAATTAAAGAGATGAGCCACGTTTCCTTTTCATGGGAATTCTGTTTGACAAGATAAGCATTAATTATTTTAATTGTGTTTAATTAATGTTTTAGAGATAATTATTAAATATATAAGGCACGTTTCTTATGAAAGGTGATTCAATTTGACAAGATAAACATTAATTAATAGAGATAATTAAATAGATAAGGCACGTTTCTTATCAATGGGAATTCAAATTGACAAGATAAGGATTAATTAATTAAAAATAATTATTAATAGTTTAGAGATAATTTTTAATGGAGTAGAGATAAGCATTAATTATTTCAAATTGAGCCACGTTTCCTTTTGATGGGAATTCTGTTTGACAAGATAAGCATTAATTATTTCAATTGTGTTTAATTAATGGTTTAGAGATATGTCATGATAATAAATCACGTTACTTTTATTAAATATTTAATTAAAATATTGGTTAACAGATAAGCACTAATGGTAATATTTTAAATTAATATAATATTTACCAACTACGATACCTTGCCTATAAATATTATAGAATGACAGAACATAACGTATTGCAAAAAAAAAATCTTACTCCCACTTTCACGTAAAGCATTGAAGCCAAAAAAATGACAAAGGCTTGGGATAACATCAAGCAAGTGACAAGGACTGACAGGCCCATAATCAAGCTAAGGGTCGTTCGAGTCTTTCAACGGACAAATGATTACTCATCCTACAAGAATATCCTAGAGATTGTCTTTCATGACAATGAGGTATAATTTAAAATAAATGATTAAAAACTTCTTATCGTATTTCGCTATATCTTACAATGTTATTTGTTTTTTTTTTCAAGGGTGGTCGAATTACTGCAATAATAAGGGCAATAAACATCCCTACATTCATCAATAAATTTGAAGAAGGTGCTGTTTATGCACTCCGAAACTATCAAGTCGAGAGTAACATTGGAATGTACAGATCCACCATTGCCAAATACAGGCTGATCTTACATGGTAGAACTGAACAGATAAGCTACAAGGGTGACTTTCCAATTTACCGTTTTGACTTTCGAAGGTTCATCACATTGGTTGATGTCGAGAAGATCGACGAATCAATCCTATTTGGTAATATCATTTTCACTTTTTTAAATATTTATTTTTTAGAATTTTTTTGATGAAAAATAATTTTACTCTAAATAATTACTTAGATGTCATTGGAATGGTGGTCGAGATAAATCCCGTGCAATTGAAGAACGTGAAAGGAGTACAAACTCGAATTATAGCATTCTCACTAATGGATCCGGAGTATTTTTTATTTTTACCTATTTATTATTTTTCTTTTACAATTTTGTAGTTTAAACATTAGTACAATATTTTTGATAATATATTTTTGGTTTAATTTAAAAATAGGGGAAACATTATGCCATGCACTCTATGGGGGCCATATGTTGACCAATTCCTAAACTTCGAGTCCGAACTTGCCCACGGCAATCCATGGACTTTGATAGTTTAATTAGGACGTTCAAGAGCATGGGCAGGTATATAAAATTAAAGGCCTACAATTTATATATTGTCAATTTTCCCATTTTGTTTAAATTACATTATTTATTCATAAACAGAAAAGGTGCAAATAACCTCATCAAAGGATATAACAAGGCTAATTGCTGGTGAAAATATTCCCGATATTGCGGAATTTCGCAATAGGTAAGCAAATTTGAATTATTATAATATTCAATATTCAATATTTAATATATTAGTGGATGATTACAAAATTTTTTATATACATGTTATATAGGGCTGCGTCTGGGCCACTTAGAAGAGCCAGATTGATTTCAAAGAGTTCCGTTGTTGTGAAATCTGAGCTTCAAGAGTTAGCTGATGGGGATGTTGTTGTTAGTTCTGTTGACTCACTATATGAGACTGCTGAGGTGTTTGAAAATGCAGTATTTTTATATACAATTAGTTATGTGCTATTTTATTTGATGAAAACATTACTTAATTAGTACAATAAAAAATGCAGGAAACCGATGTCTGGATTTGCGCTACTGTAGTCTCAATTATAGATGAGTGGTGGTACAACTCATGCAGAAGATGCACAAGCAAAATGGAGGAAGTAAATGGGCAATTAAATTGTAGCAAATGTTCTCATAAATTTGGCATTTTCCGGTATTATAAATTACTAATATAATTCAATGTTCATTATTTTATTAATTAAATAATTACGAATCATTTTCCTAACTTAAATTTCACTCTATAGCTACAAGATTCACTTTGGTGTCCAAGATACTTCTGCACCGGCCACTTTAATTGCTTGGAACAATGAATGCGAACCTATAATTGGTAAGCCATGTGATGCATTGAGGCGTGAAATCATGCAGAAGGTATTCACTTAATTTTAATAACAATATTTTATATTGATTATGGATACCAATAACTACATGATACTATTGTTGTCTCTATTTGCAGAATTCAAATAGCATTGAACTGCCCGAGGAAATAGACAATATGATTCACAAATCATATCTCTTCAAGGTGCGCATTAGAGCAAACAGGCGTAAATTCGGGGATGGTGATGCAGCCTTTTCTGTTGTAAGGATGATTGGTGATGAAAATTTGGTATCCAAATACAGTCAGTGGGTAACTGACAAAGAAGTAAGTTTAACAAATTAAAAATTTATTCCTCCTGGTAATTACTATTATGTAATATGAATTTGCACTTATTTTTTCTACAATTTTATAGGAATCTAATTTCTTGACACTTCTTCAAAAGGAAGAGGCAAAGGGCAAGGTAAAACAAACTTTATGAAATTTATTTCTTACCTTCAATACATCATATATTTAATTTCAATAATTAAATTTTGACTTTATAAATTAATTGACAAGACTGCAATGAAGAAGAAGAAGTGTCAACCCCTGTGAAGACTCGCAATGGTAAAGAGAAGGTCGGTGACAATTCTAACGCAAAGAGAAGTCTAATGGAGATAATTGAAGATGAGGCATGATTTGTTGCCCAATCAGCCACTGCCATGAAGGGCAAAGCAAAAGTGACCGAGCAAGATGATGAAATGAAGGACATCTTTGATGAGGAGTAGTTTGATGGTTGATGAATTTTATATTTATATTAGGATTTCATTTGTTGTGAATATTTTGGTTGAATAAGTTGGCATCGCCAACAAGAGTAATTTAGGATTTATTATTTGAAATTGCTGTTAGGGTTTATTATTGATCGGTTCAAGGCTTTATTATGGATTATGAATATTCAGATTGTTTTATTTCAAATTCTGTTATTAATGGTTATTAATATAATTGATCATTCAGTTTTATTCAAGTTAAAGTATTTAACTTTATGCTGAGTACATACCAATAGTAAAACATATACATAAAAAATATAAAGTACAAAAATAACAGATTCAGTAATAAAACAGAATCTTACCAAGTAGATCAGAACTATATAACAGATTCTTATCTTCATAGTTCAGTAATAAAAATATAATTTACTAATGGAAGGATATAAAGCAACAAACAGATTCTTACCTTCATGACTGATATAATATATAGAATCATTGGAAGATAATAAAACATCAATTCTATTGAAGACATTAATATAAAGCATACTAAAGTTATTATTTTTCATATAAAACAGTGTATCCAATTATTGCATCAAATAACAGAATCTTACCAAGTAGATCAAAAATATAAAACAAATTCTTACCTTCGTGATTCATAAATAAAAATAGAATTCAATAATGGAAAGATATAAAACAACAATTCATAAATCAAAACAGATTCTTACCTTCATGATTATGATATAATGTATAGAACCATAGGAAGATAATAAAACATCAATTCGATTGAAGATTTTTTTATGAAGCATACTGAAGTAATTATTTTTCATATAAACACTGCATCCAATTATTGAACCAAATATCATTAACTAGCATAACCATTTGTATGTTCACATAACATAAACATAAACATTTATATCATTCAAACAATTCAGTTGGAAAAACAAAACTAAATTAACAATTATTTTTTGTTGGCAGAGATACATAAACATCACACATTATTCAAACAATTATAAAACTTAAACATATACTATAAAATTGTCATTATCTACATATACTAAATCACAATAACGTGTTCGGTTCATATCTTAAAAATAAGATATCTCATGTTACTAACAAACCACCAATTTGTAGTTATCCAAATAATAGAGAGATAATACTATCACGTGATAAATAAAGTTAGGCATTTGAACAAGATAAGGTACATGAAATGAAAACTAACAGATACAAATACTAACACGTGATAAAAAGAGCCATATCATTTAACCAGATAAGTACCATGAAACCCTAATTTATCTAAAACACCTAAAATATAGATATCTAATATATATATTCCAACATCACCTTTACTCCTACACAGCGAACTTTCGCAGGTCATAATTTTTTTGAAAAGAATTCGCCTTCAGATTGTTCTTTTTTCCTTCATTTCATATATACATATATCTAATATATGCATGAATTTCTGTTATGCAGACTGGTAAAGAATTGACGTCTTAGTAAAACAGTGCAAACACGATTGGTGAAAGCAGCAATATAAGCATTCAAGTTATGCAGAACAGATATGTTGAGTGCAGCAAAGAAGCAAAAGTTGTTCACAAAACCATTGGAAAACATACAATGTCTGAGAACAAAAAAGGTACACATCAAAATTTAGCTTCTTACTTACATGATTGTAGCAGAACTGTGAGCTTTTAAGGTTTATGTTATCTGTTGTCATCATGCTCAGAGTTGGAAATCGTACAAAAAAAAAGTAGTTGAAGTTAGAGATATGAGTATAGAGTTACATGACTATATTTGTCAAGTATTTTTGTCAAAGTGTACCTTTTTTGTGAAATCAGCTTGAATCTCTTTGACATGTTTGTCCTTTCATATGTTATGCTCCAAATCAATTTAACAAAACAAAAAATAAAGAAAAAATTACAATTATATTTTGTATAGAATATGAAATTGTTAATAAAATCAGATGAAAAGTACAAACTTACCTTTTCAATTTACAGTAATTCAATCCTCCAGTGAGCACATTTGACATCCCAGTTTGCAACCCAATATAAGCTCCAGCATACATTAAGAAAGTATTAGTTAGATAACAATGGCATTAACATAAAACTGAAGATTATCCTTCTACAGTAGGAACATTTGATACTTTCTTACTTACCTTTGTAATATACAGCAATTCAATACTCCTGTTAAGCACCTTTGACATCCCAGCTCTCAAACCATTTTGTTCCAACATACATTAAAAAAATATTAGTTAGATAAAACACTTTAGTTTACCAATCTAGAGTAGGAACATTTAAGTAATGTATGCAACAGATAAATATGAAAGCGTAGGAGGAATATATAAGTCATGTAACTGAAAATATATTCCCAGCTTGCAAACCATTTTGTTCGAGCACAACATATTATGAAATATTAGATGAATACAGTTACATGACTTATAATATTAGCACAATAAAACAATGTAATATTAGCACAATAGTCAGTAAATGAATCAATAAAAATCAAAGTTGAATCACAAGCTATGCATATTGAAATCGAAACTGATGTTTAAAACTAACATCTTAGTTAATATAAAAACAAAGAAAATGTAGAACAACCAAAACCATGTAAAGATTATTGTTCAGATTAATGTATGTACAGATTAATGTTCATTCAGAAGTATAATCAACTAACAAAAGTTCTACTAAGCCCGAGACTTTTTAAAAACTTCAATATATTTTGACCTATCAACTGATCATACACAACAATAACAATAATACTTAAACTTTGTTGCAATTAAGCTTGTTAGAATATCACTTGTGAGGCTATTCTCCATCACTATCACATATATCTACAGCATAATGAAAATTAAAGCATATTAGCACTTAAATCAAGTTAAACAGAATGATGAACTATAACTAAATGTGAGGAAGTAATTCTTACCTTAATAAGTTATGGTGAGCTCCAATGTATTAGAACTGCTTCCAATTCAACATTGTTCAATAAATCGAAAAAAATTAGAAATAAAACAAAAATCATTCAAATGACGGTTAACATTTGAAAAGAAATTAGTTATTGTGTAAAACAATGACATCCTTTTTGGCATTCATATATTTCGATCTCATTTTTATAGATCTCGAGTTGCATCCAAAAATTACACCAGATCCGTCATAATCACAACAAAAAGTAACATAAAATAGTCGAAAAATAAATTACTTCCTTTTCGATTTTTATTTTTCGATAGTTTTGGCCCACACATACTTCAATCAGCTGAAAAAAATGTGACCCATTTATTTTTCCCTATCATCCAACGGTCAGTGTTTGTCAAAAAGAAAAAGATCGGATGGCTGCAATGATTCACAGGTGGATAGTAATAGTCGATTTTTGTAAGATAGGGTTACTTCACTTTCCTATTTTCTTCCGCCGCTTCACTTCGAAAAAGAAGGGTTCGTTGTCGGCATTTTAGAACCTTTGCTTGTCTGATTTACTTCGATTTTTTATTTTTTTTTTTGGTTATCGTCCGATTTTAACATCAGAGATGAGCAAAAAAGGATATCCTGACGAAACCTTTTTTTTTTTCGATCGGTTAAAATCAGAGATGAGGAGCACAAGAACGATCAACTCAGAGACTAAAAAAAGGCCGGATTTTAAATTCTTCGTTATCGACCTTTAAAATTTTATGTAATTCGTAGATCTGTTATTTTCTATGCTAGATATGTTCATTATTCAAAATAATC